GGGACCGACTATCAACCACTTGTGTCGTTGTTCAATAACCTCTCATCAAAACCGTCCGCAATAATCGAGCGTTGGCTGATGGACCTGCAGAGGTATCGATTTCACGTTGATTATAAACCAGGTGACAAGAACCCGGCAGACTACGGTTCGAGACAGCCGAGCAGTACACCTGCAACATCTACGCTTGAGGGTGTAGACGAGAGAACTGACGGTCACATTGCATACATAGTACGCAAGGCTGTGCCAAAGGCAATGACTCTAAGCGAAATTGAAGCTACAACAGCGAGGGATCCTGTTATACAGGCAGTTATCATGTGCATGAAATTAGGGCAGTAGTACAAACCTTCCCCTGGTGTCAGTATTTCTGAACTGTCGAGATACGAGCAAATCAAAACAGAGTTGACATGTACGGCAGATCAAACTGTGCTTTTAAAGTCAAATCGTATCGTCATACCTGCACAACTTTAGCAGAGAACAGTAGACATTGCACATGAGGGACATCTTGGTATTGTGAAAACTAAGGCTCTTATGAGAGAAAAGGTTTGGTTCCCTCTCATGGACAAACTGATAGAACGAAAAGTCACATCGTGTCTATCATGCCAAATTGCCACACCAGTATCCAACCGTGAACCATTGAAACCAACCATGCTACCTGGAAAGGTGTTTGAACTTACTAGTGTTGATTTCGCACACATCGAAGGGGAAACAGTGATGCTGTTCATAGACGATTATTCACGTTTCCCATTATGGTACCTAGCTGTGCGATCAACTGCAGCAGCAGCTGTAGTTCCAAAGTTAGACGAAATCTTCGCAACATTTGGGACATCAGAGACCGTGAAATCTAATAACGGACCCCCTTTCAACGGAGAGGAGTTTGCCAAGTTCGCAGAAACTATGGGTTTTAGGCATCGCAAAGTGACCCCTTTGTGGCATAGAGCCAACGGTGAAGTAGAACGTTTCGTCAGAACGCTAAAAAAGCATGTGGAAATCGCGAAAGTCGAAGGAGTCAACTGGAGAAAGGCCCTACAAGGTTTTTCTATGACTTACAGATGTACTCCTCACTCTACAACAGACGTTGCACCTGCTACATTGTTCCTGAAGCGTGTGATCAAAACCAAACAACCCCAGATTGTGGAACATGACCCCATCAGTGACACTGTACGCGTACGGGACACTCAACAGAAGCTGAAAATGAAATTCCATGCTGATTCAGCCAGATATGTGAAACCTACTGACCTACAAGTAGGTGACTCAGTGTTAGTGTAAATCCCATACAATCTTGTCAAAGATGGCTTACAATATCAAACCACACCACTAACCATTACTCAGAAGAAGGGTAGTATGATATCTGCATCAGATGGGCAGCAATCTGTGACCAGAAACTCTTCATTCTTTAAAAAAATCCCGAGTTACATGGGAGTAGGCATGGAGAGAGACTGTGAGATCACAAGGGAAGAGGACTTATATGATCGGTTTGGTGTTGATCGGGCTGTTCCGCAGTCCCATTTAATGCCTAATCAGTTACCACGAGGGATAGCTGACTCGATGACCCTATGGTCTTTCGCTACCCCTTCACCCCTCACATTAATGTTTTCTGTATCATTGTATCTTTGCTAATTGTGGTGATAAATAAATTTTTTGAATTGAATTTGAATTGATAACATTCCGCGGCCCATAGACACTCCATTGATGTTGACTGTGAACCCTCAGACGTCACCTTTTGATACAGATAGGTCATCACCTCCTATTCCCCTAAGGCGATCAACCCGGATGAGGAAGGCTCCAGAGAGACTTGATCTTTAGAGTTTGACTGTAGTGGATGAGAGTGTTATGACAGCAGATAGCTTACAGCAATTTGTAAAATTTAATCTCCAGTTTATGGTTGTAGTGGATGAGTAACCTTCAGTGTTAATCTGTATGAGCATCAGGCTCTAAGACAGTAACTTGTGTTTGAGCAAATAGTCTAAAGTTGATGTTATTGCGTTAATTATTCGCGTAATGTTGTGTGAAACCAATATCAATGGTTATCCAGTGACTATAAGGAAGCTGATTCAGTTAAAATCCACCAGGAAGGGGATGTAATGTATTGTTTCATTATATTAATATTGCCCATACTAGATGGCGCTAGTTGTTCTCCCCTGAGGAAAGAGCGAGAAAAAGAAAAGGACCGGAGTAATGATGCGACTGCATTGTCCGCTGTGTTTGTTATACTTGCGTTTATTTTACAATAAATCTATGTGAATACATTACAGCAGCATGTAAGCACCGTGTAGGTCCGTGTTAGATTCGGTGTGCTTTGAGAATCGGTGGGTTGTTTTGTATATCAAGCCAATATAATACTTGAATCGAGTACATGTAGGATTTATGCATGTGTATGTTTGGATGACAGGCAATCTTTAGTTTATTATATCCTTATTAATTTCGTAGAAGATAGAGAGAGAGAGAGAGAGAGAGAGAGATATTTATAAATAAGTAAATTTATTTAGCAGAAGTAAATACACAAATACATGCATGTACAAGAATAAATATAGTTTAGGAGAGGATATAATTCTCCACCTGTTTATTAATCATTTTACATGTAAGCTTTACTGCGGAGATTCCATGCATATTGCAAGAACCCCCTAACACGTTCTCAAATTTCCCCCATAAACCCTATTTTAACTTTGTCTCATGATGGTGAGCACAATTAACTGTATTTCCTCCAACTGTGCTCGGAATAAACAAAAGCTCCCTCTCTCTTTGCCTCTCTCTTTCTCTCACTGCCCCCCCCCTAATTCTCTCTCTCTCTCTATCTATCTATATATATATATATATATGTATATATATGTATGTATATATATATATGATGTATGAAGAGCCTATTTGCAAAACTGCCTATGTCAATTTTTTTCAAAAATGAGTTTAAACCACCAATGTATAGTATGTGAACATAGGTACCGTATAGAGTACTTTTTTATTGAAAAAAAGCCTACATCATTTTCTCTCATTTCTCCAAAATGAACATGGGCAGTTTTGCCAATAAACTACATATTTATATATATATATATATATATATATATATATACATGCATGTTGAGATAAACCTGCTAATTGCTTTCGCAAATTTGCATTTATTTGAGGTCATCCATGCGCTGCGTGAACGCAGTCATCGCACGAAGCCTGAGGAAACGGACGCCGGCTGAAAGTTAAGTAGAGTTTTAACAGAACCTACTATTCTCATACTGTAGCATGTTGAGGTTAGCGCAATTGTAACAGATATTGTCTAAGAAGTATTTTGTTCGACAGGAATTCACAGATGTTAAAAAGCTTACCTTAAGATACTGTATGCTAACAACATAGAATTAATATTCGTCATTAATATAACATTTTCACGGTGTATGCGTATGTGTATGCGTGTATGCGTGCGTGCGTGCGTGCGTGTGTGCTGCGTGGCGGCGGTGTGTGTGTGTGTGTGTGTGTGTGGTTGTGTGTCTGTGAGTATGTGTGGTTGTGTGCGCGTGCGCGCGTGCGTGCGTACGTGTGTGTGTGTGTGTGTGTCCGTGCTTGTGTCTGTCCTCCCTACCTCCTCTGCCACGCTGTATGCGTGTGTGTGCGTCTGGTTTAGTTCTTGCTGTTTCCTTTGTGCGTGTGTTTCAGTCCTCGTCGTACATTAACACGTTAGTTAGTTTCTGTGAATACTGAACAGTTTCTCTCTGCTTTGTACAAATGGCATTTGCTCGATTAATCAGTCTGGTATTAGTTTGCGTGCTACTTTGCAAGTCATGTCGTCATGATCTTGTTTGCAAAATAAGTTGTTGCATACAGTTAACAAATTACGATTTAATGTTAGATTTTAACAGCTGATATTTTACAGCGACCAAATAGATATAAAAACTAGATTTATTGAAAAAAAAGGATAAAATATAAGTCCTTAACAATAATAATACAAAATAATACAAGAGAGTACGGAAATACAAGAC